CCAGTGGTCACAACAAGTTCTATTTTCCCTCTTCTCATAACATGGCCGAAAAATGATGACTGTCTCCTTCTGATGTCTGTGATAAGTTGTCTTCTGGCTCCCGCCTCTTTCAAAACCTCTTGGTTGATCTTTTTTGGCTGTCCAATGTATTTTAAGCAGTCTTTTGTAAAACCACATCCATGAGGCCTCTAAATATTGTTTGGCCTGCCTACCGATTGTCCAGGATTCACAGCCATATGTTAAAACTGGATGTATGTAGCAAGCAAGAATTCTTTTTCTAACCTTCAATGACAAGGATATATTGCACAAGATGTTTTTCATTGTATAAAATGCAGTTTTTGTCTGTCCAGTTCTGTTTCTGATTTCAACGTTTACGATGGCTAATTAGGACAGCGGACCAGAAACGTTAACAGACAGTGTTTGTTTGTTCTAGTATCCAGAAGCCATGAGTTTTTAACCCTTAGGCTCGGTATTATGGATATCGCAACCTTTCGGCATTGATTCCATTGTAAATACCGTAAATGTGCTAGAAATGTGGCTTTCCTGCCTATCCCCGGGATTGAACCCAGACCACAAGAAGTTCGTCACCTGGTCTCCGCGCAATCCGGTTTAGCTAACTACGCTAGAGAGCCGGGCTTAACAGACAGTGAGATAGGACAACGTTTAGAATGGCTACTTGAGACATAGGACCGGCAACGTTAACAGACAGTGAGATAGGACAACGTTTAGGGTGGCTAATTGAGACACGTTAACAGACAGTGAGATAGGACAACGTTTCTGGTGGCTAATTGAGACACGTTAACAGACAGTGAGATAGGACAACGTTTAGGGTGGCTAATTGAGACACGTTAACAGACAGTGAGATATGACAACGTTTAGGATAGCTACTTGAGACATCAGCAAAATGGGAGACAAAGACGATTTTTCTCTACGTTCAATCTGATTGTTCATTATGTTTACGTTCGTTTCATCAGCTGACTCTTTGATATGGTAAGCGTTCCAAGTCCATAATCTATCCCCAACAGAACCACATGCTACACCATTGTGAGTAGCATTCTTTGTTCCATGTCTATTGCTGCCATAATCCTAAGAGTATTGAGTCCTTTTTTTTTTGGGCATTTAACCGCAACTGTTTCCACATGATCCCTGAAGGACAAGCTTCTGTCGAAAATAATAACCAGATACCTCGGTTTGTTTTCTCTTTTGATGTTTCTGTTATTAATTATGAGGCTTGGAACATCAGCTCTTAAATTTTTATTGTCCATAGAGCACCACAAAACAGCCGCCTTTTCTGTGTTGATGACAGCGCCTATTTCTGCACACCAGTCAGTCACTTTGTCTACAGTTGCCTGCAGCTCCTGGGCTGTCTATTTCCTCTCTCTCCCCTGCCTGTATGCAAGAACTTCATCGGCAAATGTCAATAGTCTTTCAACACCTGGTGCTTCAAGTTCTATCACCTTGCTTGTATACACATTAAAGAGCACCGGTGAAATTGCAAAACCCTGCTGTAATCCAGTGACGATATTACATGGTTCTGAGGTCCATGTACCCGGCGAAGGGCAACCATACAGGAATGCAGGACACCTGCTCTCCAGTTGACAAGCCAGGGACACACCTTCTTCTCCATGAGTGCAAAATATCAAAATATCATATCTGACTTCATTGTAGGCATGCCCAGGACAAGTGTTGACACTAACGTCTTATGTCTGTTCTGGAACTTTCCATAAACATCAGAAGCAAAAGTAGCTGCTGCATGTGATCAGGTATCTTTCCTTGGCCGGTAACTACCCGAACCTTGTCGTAGGAGCTCTTCCCTTTCCACACACACACACACACAAAAACATATGTAGTTTAACAGCAGTAATTTTCTGTAGCAAATTGCCAACAGTAGTTAGCTTGTAGAGTGATAATCCTGAAACCGCTGAGTCCGGAATGATGTTTGCCTGGCTTAGGAAGTGGGATTAGGTATCTGTGAACCAAATCCTGGTTTGCTGAAACTGTTCTGATGTTCTAGTTGAAGTAAAAAGTCATTTCCCCTAAGTCTTCATCATTCATGCTCTTCGTGTAGGCATACCTGATTCCTTCGCCCTGGTGCAGTCTTGTGCTTTTTTGCTATGTATATTTCTAATGATATCCTGAAAAATCATTATCATTTATAGTATTCGACAGATTATCTCGAACTGCATTTCTAAGTTCCCTAAGATTATGATCAGTTTGGGCTATAAATCTTTTCAAAAATGTTTCCCCTTTCTCTTTGTCTGTTGTCATTAACATACCATTATCAGTGCAAATAATGTCTGTTGTGACAGGCCGATCCTTCCTTTGCATCTGTCTGTGAAGTCTCCGAAACCCACCCAGTGATTGTTCCCCTCCAATTTCGCTCATAAAATGTTCCAATTTAGCCTTCTTTGCATCTGCTGCATCTACTTTTTCAACTTTTTCGAGCTTCTCTACGTCCTCTTGTTACCTGTGAGGTGCTTTCGGACTTTCTGTAATTGTTTAACTATTGATCGATTTGCTCTCCATGCCTCTTCTACTTCTTTGGTCCACTATGGACGCTGCACAAAGGTAGAGGTGGTGGTTCTACTGCATATATGTTTTAAGACATTTCTATTATTCGTCTATTCAGTTAACCGTCACAGCCCTGATTCAGACGGTGACGATTAATCGAAGTTTTACTGTATCTATATATTATGTTTCCACACATCGTGTTTAAATTTAGCATATATTCTGTATCTATTTTATAAATATGTAATTTAAGTTGAAGGTTGTGACCAGTTTATCTTATGATATCACAGTTGACACCTGCATGCTCAGTCCTTCGATGCAGCAGTCACTTCGAGGTACCTCTACTGATTATTTGAAAGAGGAGTTGGTTTTTTATTTACTGTATCGTCCTCGAAGGCGATATAGACGTGCTTTACAATGCTTTATTCCCAGGTCACTCCATAGTGATAGCCTCAGTGATGCCCCTTATTCGCTAGCCTAGTCCGCACAGCAATGGTCATATTACCTTTCTCAATGCTTGTTCGGCCATGCCCTGGTGCATTGCTAGGTCCGCTCCTTGATTACTTTTGATGCCTGCATTCCTAGATGAGTAGATCCCAGTGAGGGATGAGCCCAAGTATGTAAATATTTAAATCAATTTATTTTTCTTTTCCCTGATCTGAGTCAGCGGGAAAGGGAAAACAAGGAGAGAGACGAGAAAATAATTAAGGTTAGGACAAGTAAATAGTTCCCCGCTGAACTGCAGAAACAAGGTATGCAAGGAAAGACAAGCGCTCTTCACGTGCAGGGACCATTAAATGTTACCCATGGCACAGGCGATAAACGTGTGAATAGTGAGTTAAACAATTACAATGTCAACATAAAAACACATGTAACTACATATGATAGGCAACAACACCTAGAAAGACCAGTGCTCGAGCTATTCTGAACCCAGCCAATAGAGTGTAATTATAACTTTCAACATCCTTTTAGTTAACTCATTTCAAAACTAACGCGTTTCGCAGATAGCAGTACATTACCAACAAACAACGTGTTCGAACAGACCGTGTGCTTATCACTCTAGCTAACAAAGATAAGTTTTGACTTTTCTTCAAGACAACATACTTTCAAAATCTCCTTGCGAGGATGTACATAGAAATCTAGATCTCACATAATCTGTCTTCTGAAAGTACAGTCAAAACACGAATGTAGTCACGCGATTCATCTCTCGACTTCGTCCGTCGTACCTATGTTGACCTGGACTTAGTCCGCCGTACCTGTACTGACCTTGACTTAGTCCGCCATACCTATGTTGATCTGGACGTATTCCGCCGTACCTATGTTGACCTGGAAGTATTCCGCCGTACCTATATTGACCTGGACTTAGTCAGCCGTACCTATGTTGACCTAGACTTAGTCCGCCGTACCTGTACTGACCTTGACTTAGTCCGCCGTACCTGTATTGACCTTGACTTAGTCCGCCGTACCTATGTTGACCTGGAAATATTCCGCCGTACCTATATAGACCTGGACTTAGTCAGCCGTACCTATGTTGACCTAGACTTAGTCCGCCGTACCTACGTTGACCTGAGAACCCTGTAGAGTTCCGCAACAAAAATTCATGTCTATATGTTTCTAGTAGCAGTGCCCCAGACAAAAAAGAAAGTGAAGTTTTCCTTGAGTTTCCTGCGTTGGGCCTTATATCTACTTTTCGACTCACCGACAACTTCCAGAGCATTTCAATCTGCAGACCTTCTAGTTTGACGCCTAGAGCAGTTAAACCGTAATTATTAACAGGCTACCAGCATACTAACAAATCTATTTCACAAACCTGATGGTGGAAAGAGTAACAACTCCAGCTCCTCTAACACAGCCTGATGGTGGAAAGACTAACAACTCCAGCTCCTCTAACACAACCTGATGGTGGAAAGACTAACAACTCCAGCTCCTCTAACACAACCTGATGGTGGAAAGACTAACAACACCAGCTCCTCTAACACAATCTGATGGTGGAAAGACTAACAACTCCAGCTCCTCTAACACAACCTGATGGTGGAAAGACTAACAACTCCAGCTCCTCTAACACACCCTGATAGTGGAAAGACTAACAACTCCAGCTCCTCTAACACAACCTGATGGTGGAAAGACTAACAACTCCAGCTCCTCTAACACAATCTGATGGTAGAAAGACTAACAACTCCAGCTCCTCTAACACAATCTGATGGTAGAAAGACTAACAACTCCAGCTCCTCTAACACAATCTGATGGTAGAAAGACTAACAACTCCAGCACCTCTAACACAATCTGATGGTAGAAAGACTAACAACTCCAGCACCTCTAACACAATCTGATGGTAGAAAGACTAACAACTCCAGCTCCTCTAACACAACAGTCACAAACTATAAGTGACAACCAATTGTAGAGGCCTTTTTTTAACAGCAAAGATAACACTGCTGGAGACTAGGAGAATAACGGACGTGAAGAAACAATCATTTTTGTGTGTTTGCTTTCAG